GTGGAATGCGACTTTCTTGCAGCTTGGATCGAGTCGATTCTTCGAAACACCGCTTCGTGACAGCTGAATATTCGTCGATGCTTTTTCCCGCGCTTTTTTTAAAAAACACGGAACTCGGCTGTTTCACGAGCGTGCAACGAGCAAACGTTCGCTCCGCCTCGAGCGAGCTGAATAACGTGTGTTTTCGAAGCGCTTGGTTATCGATGATTTTTATGATTCTACGATCGTATACCTGCGATTTAAAGAACAACCGATTAAAGCTAATGTCCAATTCGAGTTTGAAGATTATCCGATTTGGGAATGCCGAAAATGGATTGTTTCGTTAATTATTGTGAAACACGTTGTAACGTAAGAATTTTCGTTATTTTTTTCCCCTTTTCTTGCATAATAATTTCTAATAAATTTTTAAAATCTGATGGAAACGAAGAAACGGTGTTTTTTTTTTTTTTTTTTTTTTTCGTTTCTACGCCGCGTAGAGGAAGTTCACGCGAGAATAATTGAATTCCAATGAAAAAATCCACCTTCGGCCCAATTGTATTAGTTCGCGAGTTATGTAGCGATTATCGGGATAGGCGCGTAGTTAGATTGCCCGGGGTGGGCAAACGATAACCTTTTTCGGGGTTAAAATTTTTTTGAATTTTTCTGTTTAAGACCCCCGTGCCCCCCGGTTTCAGATTTTTTTTTTTTTCTTTTTTCGTTTCTACACCTCGTAGAGGAAGTTCACGCGAGAACAATTGAATTCCAATGAAATAATCCATCTTCGGATCAATTGTATTAGTTCGCGAGTTATGTAGCGATTATCGGGATAGGCGCGTAGTTAGATTGCACCAGGTCGGCGAACAATAAACTTTATCGGAGATAAAATTATTTTGAATTTTTTCTGTTATATACCGCGTGCCACCACGATTTCAGATGTTTTTTTTTTTCTTTTTTAAATCCACCGCGAATACTTTCTCCAAACGTCGAGCAAATTTATTGGGTCGTAACGTTTGAAATGTCCGGTTGTAAATAGTTAACTCTAAATCGTATTGCTGTTTAAAGGAATATATATGATGTTTACGAGGAAATGGGCATGAAGCTAAAAGATAGAACCTTCGAATCTTCTATATAATAACGCTTCGTTCATTGGCGAAATTTTTTATCTCGCTAACTACGCGTTGTTAAATCGCACAAGTTTCCGGAACTATTTGCGTAAAATAATATTCAATCTGTTTGTTCCTTTAGAATCTTGTATGAAATATTGAATTAAATTATAACTGAATTTATTTGGAACGAAAAATAATGATAAAGTGATAAAGTGAATAAGTGATATATGAAAATATTTAGGAAATTCCCTGCATGCTTGGACCCATCCAAATGAACTGAAGCAACACGAACGAATGAGACAGTCAATAATCTCGAAGCAAAAGCCGACCGTCTTTCGGTTATTTTCGACTAGCATCGGTAAATTAACCGAAAATGACCGAAAGACGATCGGCTATTAAGCCGAGGTTCTTGACTACCTGGTTCTTGACTACCTGGTTCAAATTTTTCATTTGTCATAAAGCATCAATGCTCAAAGTAATTTTTATTTACGCAGATACCTTTCCAGCTATTTAAATAATTATATACATACTTATACATACATTTCATAGTTCATAGCTTTATTTACTATTCTTAAGTTCTTAGAACTACTTTTGTTGGAAAACATCCAATATACAATTTGTTTCAAAAATCTATATAATGAATATACATATATAATTTCAATAAAAAAGACATGTGTTTTCAAGATTTTTTAGAAATATATTCTTGGATATTTGATTATTAATTTTATTTGAAAAAAAAAAAAAAAAATCCATTTCGATGAATATTCGAACAAATATTTTTAGTTAGTTTCAAATTATCGAAAGTATTAAATTGAAGACAATTTGAATTATTCTTCACGATTTTAAAACTTTGTTATAATCACATCATTGTGTGAAGATAAGAATAATTAATATAAATTTAAATAATACAAAGCGCAAAATTTTAATGTACTTATTATATAATATGATATATTATATTGCTGGGAATTATATTATTGGAAATGAAAATGATTTTTATTATTTTTTTTTTTTTTTTTATAATTCTAGGTACACATTTATATTATTTTTTTCATTTGCATACAAAGATGAATTTATTTTAATTTAATTACTACTTCGTATTGAAGGATGAGATCTTCTTACTTAACTATGAAAACAAAGTAATTAACATCAATATAAATGAACTAAGACATTAGTACGTTAATATAGACATGAAAATGTACATATTAACATGTTTTTATAATTATAAAATGATAAGCTTAATCTCAATTATTTTTTCTTTAAAATTCTTTAAAAAAACAAATTATTTACTGCTTATAAAAAGAAAATTTATTATTTTAATAACTTAATTTTATAAATTTCTTATTTTTTTAATTTTACTTTTAAATTTAGAATGTCAACAATTTATCTAATATTTTCCTTACCTAATTTTTCTTTATTTAATACCTATTAATAACATATTCTCTATCAAGTGACCCATCGATAACCCACGATGAACTTTCTAATTTCTCATATTTTCCTTATTAAATTTAATTTAAAAACATTTCATAAAATTACCTATTAGTACTTAAAATATCAATTAGTTCTATTCTTTGTATTAAAGATATAATTATAATATAATTTTATTTTACGATCCTATTACAAAATAGAAATATCATTATTTAAATCTAAAAACATGCTTGTAACATATTCAAAGTAATATTATTAAGTTCAGCCAATATCTACTTAATTTAATCTAATTAATATACCGTTTAAAAAATTAGTAAAAAAAAAAAAAAAAAATTATTGTTTAAATCTAAAGACATGCTGCAATATATATTTAAAATAATTATTATTAATTCCGCAATGTCTACATAATTTACAATATACGTCATAAGAAATTAATAAAAAAAAAAAAAAGCAAAAAAATAGAAAAATAAAATGATTCAGAATATTTCATACACTCCAAGTGGGATTAAATCGAAGAACAGTTCGATTGGTCCCCTCGAGGATTCTTATGGTTTTTGTTTTCCGGGAGCAAAGTTCGCTCGACATCAAGACTCGTAAAACCCCCATCATGTTTCTTCACGTATCGTCTGTTCAACGTCAGATAAGACGTCGATAACCGTTTTCTTCGAGATTCTCTAATACAGCGTAGAAACGAGCGAATACTTTGGCGATAAACGATCGAACAATCGACATCCGCGTGCACGAACGTAATATGACTCCTATTACCCTAATCATAGGATTAATCGATGGAAATGTTGATCGATTGACACGTTTTGCGCTACATCGAGAATTGAAAGATTGAAAGTGAAATTAAAATGAAATTTTGAAAAATGACAAAAAAAAAAAAAAAAGTATCTTGAGAATATAATATAATTTTCTTTTTCTACCTTTCTTTTCGATAGAATTCGAAAATACGGTAGTAGAATCAAAGATAAGAGAAATGATTTTTAAATGTTTAAATGTTTGAACGTGATTTAATAATCTCTCTTTACTCTTTTCCTCTTATGTAAAAGTCGAGTCAAGAATAATGCGTAAATCATAAAATTCATTTTATGCTATTTGAGAATTGAAAGTTTCAGAGTGAAATTGAAACGAGATTTTGAAATCAAAAGTAAGAAAAAATATCTTAGAATATTTAATTATTGCAAAATAGTATTGATAATTTATTATTTTTTCTTTATAAGATATTTTTGTAAATTAAAATAAATATATTTACTCACTACACAGTGTCATAATATATTATATAATTAATATATTGCAATTAATATAAATATATTCGCTTTTTACTATTAGATTATTATTATTATTGTTGTTAAAATCTACTTTAATTTATGCTTTTCTTTTCTTTTACATTTCTAAAATAATAAATATGATTGTCTGGTTATGAAAATTTTAAATTAAAGTTTAACACTGAAAGGTCAACCTTCGACTTTTAAAAGAGGTGCATTAGCAAACTATTGAATGAAGATTATGTTTATGACCATAAAAATAGTTTTAAGTGTCTTTACCTCGAAAGGTAACTTTCGAAAGGTAACAATGATTTCTGGCTACTGTAATAAAATTTCTAAATCCTCTAAAATGACTAATAAATTTCTAAAATTTTTTCTTTTATGCTAACTTTCCATAGATAATCCCTATAAGATAAAATATATCAATACTTGAAAACTGTGAATTCAAAACTGCAGAATTCTTTTTTTTACTTGCTAAACATAGTATATAATTTAAATTTAATTACTCTAGGTATTTCTGTTTATCTTCGTTAATACTAAACAATTTTAAGGAAATTATCACGATACGATATTTTTAAACAATATATATAATCATAATTAAAAATATATTTATTGAGAAACATTTGCAAATTTTTGAAATTTTTATTATAACGTTCATTATAAAAAATAACATATATTTAATATAATTATAATGATAATATTATAAATGATAATAAACATTCTTTTTATAATATTAATAATAATGATAACAATAACAATAATAATGATAAAAGAAAAGGAAATATGATAAGTATATTAAAATAATATTTTAATTTGTTATTTTAATGATAGATAATAATCATATCGCTTCACAGTATTATCATTATGCAATATAATAACTTTCATGTTCATCCAGTCATAGATTTGATAAAATAAACAGAATAACAGATTGTATTATAAAACAGCATCTCTTTCATATTAATGATTTCATATAATTAACTTAAATTAATAGTTTTAGCAGTTATTATATTGCTATAATCAATATATAACTTTTTTCTAAATACATTTAACAATATAAAATCATGTTTATTATCGAGAAAATAATAATTTAATAATTTTACTTATTACTCTTTCATTGAATTACTAATTATATAATAATAATAATGAATTACTAAATTACTAATGGATTCAAGAAAGTTCTTCGGTTTAAAAAAACATAATGCTAGAATTAAATTACTAAATGTGAAAACTTCAATTTTAGAACTTTCTTTCAAAAATATTTTATTTTATTTTTAATTTTATAATTTATTTAATTAATATTAAAAAATATTGCCATATCGATAAATTCATTACTCAGTATGAATCAGAGGAACAGTAATTTTCAACTATTAAACCGTCATGAAATAATAATTAAAACTCATTCTATGCTGGAATGATATTTCACTTATCATCGATAAGTGATATCTTACATAATTTCGTGAAAATTTCCTCAAACGTATATTGTTCTTGCTCTATTTTGATATGCTAATTACACAAAATTTAACTTTTCTAACTTTTTTTTTTCTTAAATCAAATAAGTCTTCATGTTTTTCACAAAAATTATAAAGTAAAATAAATAATCCTTCAATTTCCTTAATTTCAACGATTTAAATTGAAATTTCAGCATGGATAATAGAATATATTATATTTAATATATATATCTAAATACAAATCTTTTAATATATCGTTATATATAAATACTATGTAATTTTGAATGGATATAATAGAAAATTATGCATATTATACAAATATATAATTTTTATGATCATTTGTAATAAATAATAAAAACATGAAGAATAATGAAAAGAATTATAAGTAAAACAATAAGAGAAAATTATAAATGAAAATACTGTTTATATATGAATATTTATCAATAAATTTTAAAAACTATTTGATAGCTTGAACGTATTAAAAATAGTAATCAATAATATAAACTACCTACAGCGCGTGCTAATTACACTCAAAGTTTATACCTAATCCGAATCAGTGACCCCGATATACGTATCACATGTTCCTCGTTCAAACCAGACACCCTGTACCAACGTATTAATATAACTGCCATTGCTCAGTTAAATAGTGTATCGCGCGGGTATTAGGTTAACCGTAACCGTATTATCCGTGTAGCCGGATACCACGGTTGAACAATCGGTAACTAACCTGCTTACATACTCGAATATTCGACTGTATCTGCTGAAAACCGGTGTACACTGATTTAATTTCACTTCATACAAACTCTTTTTTTTTTGTCTTACTTATCCTCGTCATCATCATCGTCATCACCATCATCCTTCTCCTCTCTTTCCCGATGACGCAATAAAACAACGAGATTTACGAATGGGTGATAAGAAAAAGAAAAGAGAAGATATAGAACACAAAATCGCGACTAGAACAACTAAAAACAGCATTTTTTCTTTAGCGAAATGTAAAAATATTTTATCTAATAAAGCTTCAACCGACCATGGCGCAATCCCTTTCTCTAGTTATGCAGTCGTGTTCCAATTCCTAAGAGTCGAGTCAGGCAAAAGTGTCGGGCCGAACGAAACGGATCGGCCGTCGTTATCCTACTGACACACTTTAAGTCGCGTACCTTGTACGGAGTGCAAGCCTCGGCCTTGGCCACCTTCGTGAATATCTGTGCGATCTGCTTCTCCCTCAGTGGGTGTTATGTTGATTTAGGAAGAGGAGCCGTGAAAAACAGGATGGATTAACCGTGACTGCTGCCACGTGTTCCGATGATCTAATGTTTTCGATACACCGTGCCGTCAAGCACCGCCTCACCGTTAAACAGGACACAACTTTGCGTTGGTATTTATTTTTAAATACTTGCAGCGCTTCCACTATACGCTACAGTGTTCCCCTTCATCGATACATGGAAGTTTCCACTAGTGTACCGTACGTAATATCAAGAGCATATGGTTTCACGGAGCGATTGGTATTCAACTAATGATTTGATTATAGTATGCAAAAAAGAATATTATATTTAGCAGATTTTTACGCGATCAGTATCACACAAAACTCGATGTTTCTTGATGTTTTTCACTACGCACTCAACACGAGCAAATAAATAGTGGAAATAACGTGGAATACGAATGTTTTTTAAAAAGTTGTTTTACACAATAGCTCTCGTTCCACTTTCACTTGACTGATACATCACAGATGATCACGAATGTACTATGAAACAATATTTATGCACGCAATGAAATAAGAAAGACGATATGCGAACATGAGACTACTTACATAGTTTACGCGTACACATAAAATACTATGGGACGTGGTGCGCTGTCTACAAAACACGATGCGCACCGGCCCAAGACTCGAAGCCGACTGACGGGTCCCCACTATGCGACTCACGAGTCACCCTTCACCGGCGACTAACAGCTGATTTGGAAAACACCGAGATCCGCCCAGTGACGGATTAAGTAGATAGAGTGCCTAGTTCGTTGCGTAATATTATAGTTAATCTTATTTTTCAATTCCACAAAAATTATTGTTATTAAGTTTATTAAATTTCAATGATATAGATGACTATGAAAAAAATGAAAACATTTGATAAATATATTATTAAAAATATTATACTCATGATTATTTTATATTTTTATAATTTGTTTCTTTATGAAATATTTTAATAAAGTTTATCACAGATTTAGAATTTAATTTATTATAAATTTCTCATAATAAATATAACTTATTAAATCGTTTATTGTAATATTTTAATCGATCAATATTTTATCTATAATCATATCGAAGTTTGCATATGAAACAAAAAAAAATTTTGATTATATTTCAACAAAATTCCATATATTGAAAAAAAATTATAAATCATGAATTGTAAAATATATTATTATAATATATCATATCTGTACCAAGCATATTTATCTTCATTACGCAGTATTTAAACACCTAGATAATGTTGATTTTCATGTAGTAAGGTTAAGGAAAAAACATGGAGGAAATACATTGAAAAGAGCTCGAAATATCATGATAGGGGCATGCGCTTTCAAAGAATACATTTATGATTCATGATATATATTCATATATATATTATATTGTTAGAAAATATAATGTTGAAGTCCAACTATCTAATATTTATAATAACAATAATTATAAATAAATATGTATCTAACATATAGTTCGTTATTATACAAAGATATAAATATAATTGACATAAATTACTCTACAGTTTAAATACTCAAACTACATTGTAAGATAAATATCGATTGTCGATAAATAAAATATCTATTCCATCGATAAAACTATATCGTGTAACGTACATAACAAAATCTAAATGAGTTTAATTTTCTATATCAAGCTAACATAAACATGTTTAATGCTTTTATATTGTAAACTATAAGATACGGAAAATCTAGATATAATTGAATATATTTTCATGAATAAATTATTTAAATTCACTTTCATAACCACAATTTTAATTTTGTAATTAAAACTATTAGAATAAAATATCTAATGAAAATATAAATATAATAACTTTGTATTATTGTTATTTTGATAACTATGATATTACATGCTTCTAATTTATCCATTTTTTTATTTAAAAAATATCAAACAAATCATTATAAAATTAAAATATCATTTCATAACTAAAGAAATATTTATTTTATGCAATAAAAAATATTTTATTGTATGTAATATTTTATATAATATTTTTTATATTGTAATATATTTTTAAATATTTTCTTTTAAATTTATATTTTTTTTAATAAAACATGAAAACAAATTGTCTTAAAAATAATAAATATAGTAAAATTTTATTTTATTCAAATAAAATAATTTTCTTAAAACTTTTATAAAACAATCATATATATAATATTTATTTCATGCATAATAAGTAATTAGAAAGTATTTTTAATAAATCAATAAAATAAAATGCAGTTGTATATTAATCAAAATTGTTAATTAATTATTAATTAGTTATATAATAGGTATATATATAATATATATTGCAGAAAACTAATTAAGAAAGGTCAACAAGTTTATTTTAAAATCTATCATATATGTCAACAAAGGCCAATAAACATTTCACTACCACGATTACATTGTTCTGTTTCATCAACCAACAAAGAATATCCAATATTGCTCGCTTAAAAGGCTACCATCTTCTGGTTGGTAAGCCACTAAATTTAGAAGTTCACATATGCATGTCATTTTTGTTCTTTGGGAACCTTGCATTCAAATTCTTCCTTTATTCTCAGAAAAGAGAGAATGAAGGCCAATGTGTTAATATCAAATTTCAGAAATTTCAGAAATTTCAGAAGCGACGCTCTATTTTTAGAGCTTTCAAATGCTATTAATCCTATATACTATACTAACTTTATTTAAGGAAACAAAAATAAATTATGATATAGAATATATATAATTTAAAATTTAAATTAACTATGAAATATGGAAATAATTTGAAAATAACCATTTATTTATATTTATTTATAAATCAAATTATATAAAATTCAAATACTTAATATCAAATACTTTTATAACTTAATTTTTTAAAACAAATTATTGTTTTATCTGAATATTTTTATTTTTTTTTTATTAATTATATTTTGATAACTTTGTTGAGATTAATTATATTAATATATAGATAAAATAATATATAGAATATAACAATATTAAAAATTTATGTCATATCAAAGATATTTTGACATTTAACAATATATTATAATATGACAAGCAATTTTAAGTTTCAAGCTTTATACTACAAGTTTAATTTAATGTTTTTTATAGATTTATTGAATGACATTTAATACAAATGGAAATTTAAAAAAAGTCTTTTTTAAATACAACATATATTTCTAAAGAAAAATGAAAATTATCATTCTTAATGTTATAAAAACATGAATACACGTTCTCCGAAATATATTTGCGTCATACATGCAATCAAAATTTGCTTGATGACAGCGAGTACGTCGTAAAAAATGTTATCAACAATTTGAAACGATAATCAATTGTACGTTATCAGACTAAAAGATAAATGAAATTATCATTCTACAGAACCGTGTCGAAACATGAAAGAAATAAGAATGTAACGTACCAAATGTCAAGACGTGGGTGACTGTGTGTTCCGTGCTGGTATTCTCAAGGATTTCCGAGGGTGGGGGTGGCGGTGGAAGTGGCGGCTGCATGGTGTTCTCCATGTCCCTGTTGCTCATTAAATTTTGATGTCAGTCACAATGCAACACTCGTTCTTACTCAGCGAAAACACATCTCGCGAAATGTGCGGGTCGATGATCCTCTTGTTCGTCGCAAAACGTATGTCTATCTATAGTATGTATTCACGATCGTCAAGATGGAATCGCGTATTTCTCGTATATGTAAGAATACCGATTGTTTGGATGATCACGAAAAATACATGAATGACCCGAGAAATAATGTTGACACTGGATTTTTACATGATTGCCACCGATTTTCTCGCGTCCGCGTTGACGGACAACGAAGACACGCACGTTTCGATACTGCGCATCCACAACGCGCAAGTATAATACCGACTGCTTTCGGTTGGTGCGTCAGTATTGTCAACAGATTACCGACTGTAACGATAAAAATGATCTTGTGTTTTCACTAAAATACTTTTGAAAAAAATCATAATTTTTTTTTATTATTAAATATATTTATATAAAATTAAAAAAAGCAAAAACAGGAATGCTTACCTTATATATAATCAAACATAGAGGAAAAAAATAGATTATTATATTGATTGTAATAAATAAAAATTATTAAAAGTAAACAGTGACTTTATTTGTAATAACAAGTCTTTAACAATAGTAAGATGTTAATAAAAGTCATTGTCTAAAGCCAGCGTCGATGAATTAATTTTTTTTAATAGCCTGAGTCTTTTTTACGCTGAATAATTAAATCGTTTTCATGTATTGCTTAAAGATTTACTATATGTTTCGATAGATAATATTCTCTTTTTCTAAGATAGAAGGTACAAAAGACAATTTCAAATACTTGCTAATTATATGATAAAAATTATAATTAGTGCTTTTCACATTTAAAAAATTAGAAACTTATTAAGCATATTATGTATATGTTAAAATACAAGTACTTAAATATTTCGTTGTACTGTAAATGATTGATGAAAAATTCATGAATATGTAAATCTATGTTTTAGTATATAATAATAATGGGATACATCATCTGTTTAACGCGATAACTTAGATATTGTAGGTCAGATATATCCTACTCTTGTAACACATATCGTTACTTACATTGTCTTGACTCGTCAAAACAATTGAATATAATACTCAATCTTCATTTTCGAAATAAATATTAAATTTTTATCAAGAATGCTTACTGAATTTTTTCCATTTTGGACGAAATACTGGTACCACGTGTTAATTACTATTGTAGCTTATATTTTTTTAAAATTATTTTATAAAATATTGAAAAAGGATGCTATTTTTATTGAAAAAAATAAACATAATTTTGATATTTCAAATATAAAGCAACTAAAAGGTAATAATATTAATTATTATCTATCAAAATATAAATTTTTAAAATAATAATTGTTAGAAATATTATTTATATATAATCTATTGAAGTTACAAAATTAATGTAATTTTATATAAAATTAATTTTTATTCTATATAATTTTATACTAATTAAACATATATTTTTTCAATAAAATTAAAAATTATAAATTCTAGAAACTAATCAAGAAACAGAAGATAGTGAGGAATCTGCATTACCAAAAAATTTAAAACATATTCCTTATGAATATAAAAGACCTTCTGAAATGGAGTTATTCTGTCAAGCTTCTGAGTTTTATAAAATAGTAACTGCTAGAAGAACTATAAGATTTTTCAGTTCTGACCCTGTACCAAAAGAAGTCATATATGAGATAATAAAAGCTGCAGGTACAATATCATGTTATTACGTTCACAAAATTTTTTATACATCTGAGTCTGTTTTAGGCACTGCGCCTAGTGGTGCACATACAGAACCATGGACATTCGTAGCGGTGTCAAATCAGAAGATAAAAGAACAAATACGTTATATTGTTGAAAGCGAAGAAGAAATAAATTATAAAAAAAGAATGGGAGTAAAATGGACAACTGATTTACTTCCATTAAGAACAAATTGGATTAAAGAATACCTGACTACCGCTCCTTATTTGTTGCTTGTATTTAAACAAATTTATGGAATTTTACCAAATGGAAAAAAGAAAATTCATTATTATAACGAAATGAGCACATGTATTGCTTGTGGTATTCTCATCACCGCTATACAGGTAATATTGTTATAATACTATGATTTCTTATAATGTATATGTATGAATAATATGGATGAATAATATATGAATTTTAAAACTAGTATGCAGGTTTGGTAACTCTGACTTCTACTCCTTTAAATTGTGGACCTGCCATCCGCAACCTTCTTGGACGTCCTTCTAATGAAAAGCTTGTTGTACTACTGCCAGTTGGTTATCCAGCAAAGGATGCTACAGTGCCTGATCTTCAGCGAAAATCTCTATCTGATATTTTAGTAGAAATTGATTGACATATATTATAACAAATTATGGGAATTAAAGTACCTTTGTTTAATATTTTGTCAGATACTTGCTTGTAGGACAATACAAAAATGAGTACACATAATTATAGATTTATATAAATCCTGTTTTTGTAAAAAAACTTATATTTGTTTTGAGTATTGTTTGTTACTTATGTATACCTTACATTACACTTTCGCAAATATATATATATATATATATATATATATATAT